GTAAGGTGTAGTAGACGGGATAGTAATAGTAATAAGAACTGCAGAGGGCCTATTGGCCCATACGAGGCAGCTCCTATTATACCCACCGAATGAGAAGAAGATAGTAATAGGAATAAGAAGAGGATAGCAAGGGAACGTAAGAGAAAACAATGAACAGAAAAAAAGAGAAGAGAGAAAGAAAAGAAAAGAGAAAGAAAGATAAATGGAAGGCTAAGCTTATGTTAGGTCACGTTTGTTAGAAAGATTAGAGCATTTGAGTATATACTGTGAAAGGGAAGAGTCCACAGCAACAAAGCCAGGACTCAAGTTCATGTTGGGTACGTTGTGTATTAGAGCCGATTCAACAAGACGTCGTCTGTGTAGAGTAGAGGCAGGAAAGATTATTTTGGAGGAAGACCAATCAATGGGATTAGAATCCCTCACATGACAGAAGAGAGCATTGTTAGTTTCTGCAGACTTAACACTTCTCTTGTGTTCTTTAGGACTCATTGCCATCGGACTTATTGTGACTCATTGCCTGCATAAGAAGGCTTCGCTTTCCTCCTCGCCCCCTACCTCTGACTCTCTTGCTTCATCCACTCCTGTTTCGGTGGTTGGGCACTCTGTTCCTGCTATGTAAGTTTCTTTGCCGCCCCCCCCCCCCGCTTCCCTCTCGGTTGCTGCCTTCGCTGAGGTGCACTCCTTGGTTTTTGTCTCTCCTGCTGCTGTCCTTGACCCTCGGTTGTTCCCCCCCCCCCTCCTCCTCCGGATCCTGCTCGACTGCCTCTGGTCGGTCCTCTGGCTCCCTTCCATCCATCCTTACACAGTTTACCCATGCCCCCTAACCCCTGACTTCGCTGACCCTGATCCTGATCCTGCACTTCTTTAACGTGCTGTGTTCCTTTTTCAGCTTTGTTTCTTCATTGTCATCTGTTGCTGTTCTTTCTCTTTTTCTCGATGTCTACTCTTCAATGGAATATTCACGATATTACGCCAATTTCCATGAACTCTAACTTCTGATTTCAAAGCTTTTGCTCCTTTGTGTCTCTCTAGGAGCTGATGCTTGGTGCTCGTCCTGGTCGTCTCTCTTGATTTGTTCTGATGTTCCCTTCGTCCCCCTACTTTTTCCGTCGCCTCTCCAATGTTCCGATGCACGTGTCTTTGTGCATAAATGGTACACGGTTTGTTCCATATACCTCCCCCTAAATGTCCCGCTTTCTCGTCCCGATCTTAAACACCTTCTGGACTCCCTGTCAGAGCCTGTGCTCATGCTGGGTGATTTCATTTGTCGACATACCCTCTGGGGTGATGTTCTGACAAACACCCAAGGTCGCCTTCTCGAACCGTTCAGCCTCTCTTCTTCCCTGTCTCTTCTGAATTCTGGTGAGCCTACTCATTTGGACTTTCGGACTTGCACCCTTTCCTGTCTTTCTCTTTCTGTTTGCTCGTCGTCTCTTTACCTGGATTTCACGTGGCAGATTCTTGATAACATCTATGGCAGTGACCATTTCCCCATCCTTGTTACCTTTTCCTCTTTTCACCCTCCCCTCTCCTTCCCTAGGTGGCAGTTTGCTAAGGCAGATTGGAACCTATTTACCCTCCGTGCTGCTCTCTCTGACCTCTCCATTCTGCCTCTCCCTCGAGCCCTCCTTCCTTTTTCATGACACCATCTTCGACGCTGCCCTCCGCTCTATTCCTCGCTCTTCCTCTCGGGGACCACGGAAGTGCGTTCCCTGGTGGGATGTGGACTGTGCTCGGGCTGTCTGCTGTAAGCGTGCAGCCTGGAAGAGATACCGCCGCTGGGAGATGGCTGATTCTTTTTTTTTCGTAAGGCAAGTGCGGTGGCCCGTAGGGCCATCCGTACAGCTAAGCGTGAGTGTTGGATCTCTTATGTTTCTACCATTTCGTCCGAAACTTCTCTGCTGCAAATCTGGAAGCGTGTCTGCAAAATAGCGGGTAAGTTCGTTCCCGATGTCTCACCGCTCCTTCACCTCCGTAGTACTCTTGTGTCAGACCCGTTGCAGGTCGCAACCAAACTGGGTTCCCACTTTTCTTCTGTTAGCTCTGGTTCTCATCTTCCTCAATCTTTCCTTCGTAAACCTGTCCTTGAATCTCGTCCTTTAGATTTTTGCACTCATCTCAGCCTTCCCTATAACGATCCCTTCTCTCTCTCTGAACTTCAGTCTGCCCTGGCCTTCTGCAGTTCTACGGCAGCGGGCTCAGATGGTATTCATTGATGAGATGTTTCGCCATCTCCCTCCGTGCACGTCTCAGTATTTACTGAGTCAGTATAATCAGGTCTGGGAGTCGTCGTCAGTCCCTGAGGGCTGGCTCGATGCCGTTGTCCTCCCTGTTCAGAAACCAGCGTCTCTTGGAACGTCCCCTAAGGACTTCCGCCCTATTGCCCTCACGAGTTGTGTCTGCAAACTCTTTGAACACATGGTTAACGTTCGTCTGATGTGGTTCTTAGAATACTATCGCCACCTCTCCCCTTCTCAACTTGGGTTTTGCAAGTGCCGCAGCACGACAGATGTCTTGATGAACTTGGTGGTCTATATTCATACTGCTTTTGCTGCGAAGACCTCCATTGTTGCCGTCCTTTTTGACCTTGAAAAGGCTTTCGACACCACTTGGCGATATCATATTCTGTCCCAAATTCATTCGTTTGGCCTTCGAGATAATCTCCCTCTCTTTCTCCAAAGCTTCCTCTCTCGCCATTCATTTCGAGTGAGGCTTGGTACCACCCTCTCTGCCTCTTTTCAGCAATACGAGGGTGTGCCCCAAGGTAGTGTTCTGAGCACTACTCATTTTCTGGTTGCCCCCAAGATCTTCTTTCCTCTCTTCCTTCTGGCGTCTTCGATGTCGACGATCTTACCCTTTGTTGTCGGGGTGATGATTCGCCTCTCCTTCAACGGTGGCTTCAACTTGCAATTGATGCCGTGTCGTCTTGGGCCACCGATCATGACTTCAGGTCTCTACGTCAAAGACTTGTGCTATGACTTTTACTCGGAAGTGTGTCGTTCTTCGTCCCCTCTTTGTCGTTTTATGGCCATCCCCTTGTGTACAAGGATTCCCCTAAGCTTTTAGGGTTACTCTTTGACACTCGTTTGTCTTGGTCGCCCCATACCTCTTCCCTCCGAGTTGAGTGCTCTAAGGCCCTTACCCTCCTTCAGGTATTGTCCCATACTTCTTGGGGAGCGGATCGGCGCATTGTCCTCGCTTTACATTCTTCTCTTGTCCTGTCTAAACTCGATTATGGTTGCCCTGCTTACTCGTCTGCTTCTCTTTCTACTCTTCGCCGACTTGATTCTTTGCACTATACTGGGTTGCGTCTCAGCTCTGGTGCCTTTTGTTCAACTCCCGCCCTCAGCTTGTATGTTGACACTGGCTTCCTATCTCTCCAGGACCACCGTGATCGTTACTGTCTTCGCTATCTTGCACGGTCCTTGCAACATCCTTCCTCTCGCCTCTGTCGTGTTTTAATTTCTACCCCTCCTGTGATTCCTGTTCCTCTTCACCACCTCCCTCTTTCTGTCTGGTTATTTCGCTTACAGGATTCTCTTTCCGCTCGTATTTATAATACTTCTCCTCGTGTTGTTCCTTCCTTGCCCCCGTGGAGAGTCTCCCTTCCGAAGTTTTGTACATCCTTGACCCGCATCACTAAAGCTTTTACCCCTCCTACGGTTCTGAAACGCCTTTTCCTTGAGCACTTTTCTTCTCACTCGCACTCAGTTTCCGTCTTCACTGATGGGTCTAAGTCTGCAGACGGTGTTGGCTACTCTGTTGTTTTTCCTGATCACACTTATATGTGTCGCCTACCTCCGGAGACTAGCATCTTCACAGCGGAGCTTTATGCTATTCTCTATGCTCTTTGTCTCATCCTCTCTCGTTGTCAATCTTCCTTTGCAGTTGTTGTTGACTCTCGTAGTGCCCTCATGGCTCTAGGGTCCTTTAATCCGGTTCATACAGTGGTTGTCGAGATCCAGCTTTGGCTGTTTCTTGTTCACAGTAAATTTAAGTCGGTTGAGTTTTGTTGGGTTCCCAGCCATATTTTTGTCTCTTTAAATGAGCGTGCGGATGCTGCCGCCAGGGAGGCTGTCAGCTCTTGTCCCATCTCTCATAAAGGTATTCCTAATTCCAACTTTTACCCGGTTATCCATTCCTCCATCCTTACCTGTTGGCAGGCTTCTTGGTCTTCTGTTACTGGTAACAAACTACATTCTCTTAAAGGTTGTGTGTCCTTGTGGCCGTCCTCCTGCCACCGTAACCGGCAAGGAGAAACGGCTCTGGCGAGTTTGCGTATTGGCCATACTCGCTTAACTCATGGTCACTTGATGGAGCGCAGCCCTGCTCCTTATTGTCCTAATTGCATTGTCCCTCTTACGGTCGTGCATATCCTTGTTGAATGTCCTGACTTCCGGGACGAGCGTGTGTCTTGTTTTCCGACCGTCCCCCGCGGTTGCTTGTCTCTCGATAGTATTCTTGGTAACTCGGATACTTTTGATATCGTTCGCCTTATGCGTTTCTGTTCTCGTATTGGCGTCCTTGGTGATATTTAGCGCCCTCTGATTATCCTGCACATTTTATGGTGCTCCATAACCTTCCCGGTTTGGTGCCTTCTTTTTTTTATAATTACTTACTGTGTGAGGCGTTGTATACTATATTTAACAAATCATTAGGGTCAGGCAGAGTGCCAGAGTCGTGGAAGTTTGCTAATGTGGTACCAATTTTTAGGAAAAAAGATAGATCACTTGCGTCAAACTATTGACCAATTAGCCTAACGTCTATTGTGGGAGAGTTACTTAAATCGATAACTGCAAATACCATTCGTCTTCATCTTGAAAAACATAAATTAATAAACGATTCTTTGTTGAAACTGTTTACTTTGTTTTAATCCAGGGCTGCATGAGAGGTGAGTCTGATACCATTGTCAAATGTTTTATGCCACTAAAAAACGTTTTGATAATTAGTTAAGCTTAGGTATGATCCTTAAACTAATGTATCTTGGTCTTGCATTTCAGAGTAACAAAATGCCTGCGTGTCTGCCGTGGGGGAATGAGAGTTCCACCAACATTACGGGGCACAATGTTATTGTGACCGGATGGGGCAACACCTTCTATGGTCAGTTCTTATGTTTTTAATTGTGTTATCTTCACTTTGCTTGAGTAATATTTTCTATGGTCAGTTCGTATATTCTTTATTTTGATATCTTCACTCTCTACATTTCATCATCATTCTTTTCAATAGCCTTAGTGTGACATATTTCCGTCACACTATCTCAATTCACACTATCGAAGTTCTACTGAACTTACTGGATCCTACAGCCTCTCCAAGGCACAACCCAGTGTTTTACGCAACTCCCCCCATGCACTCGAGCTATGTCAATAGGCCGTTCTCCCTCTTCGCCCTTATTTCATTACAAACAGAAATCACAATAGGCGGTAGAACGGCCTATTTACATAGCTCGAGTGCATGGGGGGAGTTGTGTAAAACCCTGGTTTGTGCCTCGGAGAGGCTACAGGATCCAGTAAGTTCAGTAGAACTTCGGTTTCAACTCCTTTTGACCATGTCCTAGCTCAGTCGATTAAGGCAGCATCTGGGATGCTCTCGGACGTAGGTTCGAATCCTCGTCACGGCCCTTGTGGATTTGTTCATTTAATGCATCACGCAATTGTGATTTCTGTGTGTAATGACGTAAGGGAGAAGAGGGAGAACGGCCTATTGACATAGATCGAGTGCATAGGGGGAGTTGCGTGAAACACTGGTTTGTGCCTCGGAGAGGCTGCAGGATCCAGTAAGTTCAGTAGAACTTCGGTTTCAACTCCTTTTGACCATGTCGTAGCTCAGTCGAATAAGGCAGCATCTGGGATGCTTTCGGATGCAGGTTCGAATCCTTGTCATGGTCCTTGTGGATTTGTTCATTGAAAACCCTGTTCAAGGAGAAAATTGAGGGTAAACTTCTCGACAACAAATATAGTAGTTCGAATTTATATCATATCTTGTAAGTTTTAATAAATATTGCTTGGCATTCTTACTCAAACATGTGAAAGTTGTAGGTTAATATGGGTTGAAATAAAGGCAAAAGAAAATAATCTCCTAATAAAATAAATACGTGGATAAGGATAATGGGTTGATAAGGATGATAATAAGTATACTTTAAGTAACTAATAAGGTCTGCATCTGGTCCCCATTTTTCAATATAACCTAAAGAGATAAAGAGAATGGAGTTTAAAATCTGAAAATTTAAAAAGAAAAATTCAAGTCAGAATTTTTGCCACCTGTAACTGATTAACTTGTTGACCAATTTCGTTCACCCTTCACATACATAGTTATGGGTATGCATTCCCCCAAGATGTAAAAGCTACAACAAAATCCGATTATAAACAATGGAGAAAAAATCGAAAAAAATGCCCTCCCCCCAAAAAATAAATTGTTGGACATTGGTGAAACTAACAGATATTGTCATTGGGCAATATATTTATATGACATAGCAAAATACAGCATATTACCACAGTAATTATTATTTGTGTTATTATGTATTACTCAGTAATGCTAGAAGGCACCAGCTGCATATCCATTTTGTGAACCCTCCTTACTACTATTCTTCTTATATGTGCATCGGACAGGTGCTTGCATCTCTGTATCACTCCATTATCCCTCAGTTCCAGTTAATAGGAGCTGTTCTCCTTATAATCAGAACTTTTTTTTAATTGTTTACTAGCAGTACCCAGCAACACGTTGCTGTGGCTCAGCAACGCATGTGCGTTGCTGAGCCACAGTAACCTTCCCTGTCCCCAGTCCTCCCTGCCATTCCCCCCTCCCCCCTCACCCATCTCCTCGGCCTTAAAACCATTCTCCACTCCGTCCCCTTGCCCTCCCCACTATTCCCCACTCCACCATCCCCTCTTCCTTCCCACCATGCCCCATTCCCCTGTCCCTTTGTCCTTCCCACCAATTCTCCATTCCCCCATCCCAAACTTCCCTGTTCCCTCGTCCTTCACAACCATTACCCCGTCCCTTGTCCTCTCGTCCTCCCGACCATATCTCACTTCTGTCCCCCTTGTCATCTCCACCATTCCCAACTCCCTTGTCCGATGCCTTCCCAAATGGTCTGATGTTCCCATCAGAAAATTGGGAACATCAAGTGATCTGATGTTCCCATCACTGAAATATGAGAAAAACAGTTAAAAAATGATATGAAAATATGAAAAAATTAAAAAATAAACTATACTCACGAAATGAACGGTCAGGTAAACAACACAGCTCAATTCCAATGCAATTCACACAAAATAATTAAATCAAAATGAAAATAAATGAAAATGTATGAAAATTCAACTTATCAATGCAATCAGAAACATTGAAATGGAATTGTAACATATCTAGTATAGCATGTGTTGCTCTTACATGCAACAGCTGGCACTGTTTTTCAAGAAAAGCATAGTTTTACCTGTCACAAGTATGGCATCTATACTTATACTTACAAAATGAACGGTATGGTAAACAACACAGCTCAATTCCAACAGGCTCCTAGTGATGGTAGGCCTACTTTTGAGGTGAAAGTGGAAGGTGTGAGATTGACAGCTTTTGTTGATACAGGAAGCCAGGCAACAGTAATTAAAAAGTCAGCCTTCAGCAATTTTAAGTATGCACGTCTTCAACGTTGCGCAAAGACATTAACAGCAGTCAATGGGGAAAAGATTGAGATCGTAGGTCAAGGTACAGTTAATTTTGAGATTGATGGGGAATTGCAGCCTCACACATGTACGATCGTAGAGAACCTTGATTTTCCTGGTCACATCTTAATGGGAACTGATTTTCTGTCGCGATTTGATTATTCCTTGTCTGCTCAAAAAGGGGCTAGGAACTGCAGGTTGCAGTTGGGACAGACTTCCTAATGCGCACTATCCAAAATTGATTTTTAAGTCTCTTCCAGACACAGTTAAGAGGTCATGCGCATTGCATGCATTGACCAAACAGAGTTGCCCACCACATTCTGTTAAATTTATTAAAGTAGCCGTGGGACGTCACATACAACCAGGTACCACCCTTCAGGTGGCTGGGAGATGTGATAGTTTATTAATTCCTCATCACTTAGTTGTAGTGCTCGATAAAGGTGCACTCATTCCAGTTGTCAATCTTTCACATAAGACTTTTCGCTTCAGGGCAGGTGATAGGGTATCTCAGGGAACCATGGTGGAGGACACAGAAATCTTTCACCATGAGTCAGCTGAGACGCCAGCCGTCACTGCACAATGTAGTGCACTAAATATGTTGAACACTAAAACACCATCCAAAGTACAATACCAGACGAGAAATGTTGCACAGAATGTAGAGGAAGTGGAAAAATTAATTTCAGCACTTGATTTGCAACATGTTGCACAGGCGGATAGGAAGGCACTGAGAGGAGTTTTACGAAAATTCCCGAAACTGTTTGCGACAGAGGATGACCAGATTGGTCTCCTTGATAAGATCGAGCACACCATTCCAACTGGTGACCATTTGCCTGTGTACACAAGACAGTGGAGGTTGCCGGAACAGGCAAAGAACATTATCAGGGAGGAGTGCCAGAAAATGTTGAGACAGGGCGTAATAGAGCCTAGTACGTCACCATGGCTCTCTCCTGTTGTGCTAGTTCGGAAACCGGACGGTAGTTATCGTTTCTGTGTTGACTACCGGAAGGTGAACGAACTAACTAAGGGTGATGTGTATCCGTTGCCCCGAATACAGGAGATAATAGATCAATTTGGTGCTGCTAAGTATTTCTCAAACGCAAAATCGGCGTATTGGGCGATTCCGGTGGCAGAACAGGATAGGGAAAAAACAGCATTCTCGGATGGTAGGCACACAGCTCAATCGCAAACTGAAAGACCAACTAATCACGACACCGGTATTGGCTATTCCAATGGCAGTATTTCAGCTAGTTATTCCGGACGCGTTGCGGTCATAGCGTTAAAGCTTGCGCACAAAAATTGCAGGGCATCCGGGGATCTTTAAAACGCACTTAAAAGCAAAGTCTCTATTTTATTTTCCAGGATTACTTTCTGAGGTAATCAATTTCGTGAAGTCGTGCCCTCGTTGCCAGAGGAGGAAAGGTACCCTTAAGGTACAAGCCCCACTTCAGGAATTTCCTGAAATTCGTGAACCGTTAGATCGTGTGGGGGCCGATCTGATTGATTTACACCACAGTCATGCGGGTAACAGATACGTGTTGGTGCTAGTTGACCATCTGTCTAGATACACTACACTAGTTGCATTACCTCAAAGGATTCTCGTACGGTTGCAGATGCGTTCTTGCGTAGGTTCGTTACTGTATTCACTAAAGTTTTAGTCTCTGACCGGGGTCAAGAATTCAATGGGAATATATTTAGAGAAGTTTGTAAGATTTTAGAGACAACTTCGGCTTTTACAACGGCCTACCACCCACAAGCAAACGGAATGACGGAACGGACTAATCGTTCAAGGATATGCTTGCAAATGAACACCTACCCTATGTTCAGTTCGCCTTGAATACTGCCATCCACCAATCAATTCAACCACTTCATTTGTTTACAACAACAGAACTGCCTTCAGCGGGTCTAGTTCCTGACTCAGCAGTGCTGACTCATGGCTTCACCAACGAGTCAGAAGATGAGGATGACCCTCTGTCATCGCTCATCAGTAGTCAGGTGCAGTCTCGCCACCCTATGGTGACGAGATCTCGCGCTATACAGTAAAGTAACTTCCTTGGTTAGTATAATTTAGTATTCATTAGATTTTCCTGTAAAGGCAATGAGATGTACTATGTCTATACTTGACTCAGGTAGCAACTTTTACCGTGCTCTGGGGTTCCACCTCCACCAAACCCAGAGTATATCTATGCTTCCGCTGTGTTGTGTCTGTCTGTTCCCAGGTCTGATTGGTACACCGACCCAGTTGTTCCAGCCACACGTGAACCCTTGTCTGTAAAGACCGAGGGGGGAGGCACGTTACACAAAGCCCTCCCCCACTAGACCCAGTAACCCATACATCAGTTACTTTGGGGATGAGTGACTGTCCAAGAGTCACCCGGCCGACGCCTCACGTCACTAACGAGGTTGTCAGGGCCAGCGAGCTGTCCACATTATAGCAGTCACCGGAGGTGC